GGCAGCCAGCTTAGCCATAAGGATTTTGTGAATTCCTAGTGAAGGACCCAGCTAACCTTAAATGCAGGGGTTTGTGTAAAATATATATAATTTAACTACTATTATGATTTTTTTTTTGGCCATGTCTCATCTAAAGACAAATTACATCATGTTTTTTGGTCTTTGAAAGAAGAAATCATCAGGTCTTTTAAGAATATGTTTCTGCACTGACCTTTTGAACTTTGAAAATGTCTTTTTCCTGGGTTTAATGCTTTAGTATCTTTCTGAAAAGGGTTTGTCTTGCAGGTTTAAAATCACTTGTTTTGGTACCTACTTATCTGTTCTGAAGTTGCTTAAGATTTGGTGTGGGGCTTTTTTTGTGGTTTGGGTTGTGGTTCTTTTTCTTCATGTTGAACAAGATGAACCTGAAGTCATACTGCTTAGAAAGAACAACAACTCCATATCATTTAATTACTGCATGTGGTGGGCTGTTTATGTCCTGGTACACGTGTATATTGGAGCATTTTAAATATAAAAGTTAAAAATTAATTGAAAAAAATGAATAAATTGCTGTGATATGAAAACTTGGTTTTATTTTGCAGTCCTTGTGTTTCACACTGAGTAATAGGCTTTCCTGCTGTGTGCTCATGTATTTTTGCCTGTGTATATCACATTATTAAATTGTGTTGAGAGGTTTACAGAGCTAAATGTCTGCCCTTTTGGAGTAATACAAACTGTTTTGACATGTAAACCACTTAGAAGGCGATTTGTAAGGGAAAAGCTTTTGTAAGGGAAGCATTCCTAATGTGATTGGTAGTGTTAATTTGTTTGGAGATCTGAAGTGTATTTGAAGTAGAACTCACCAATGCTTTTTGCATTTTTTAAGAGACTTTATTTGGAATGAAGTAAAATTAAACTGTATTAAATTGTCTTGTCTTTATAATTTCAGTGGCCGAACTGGGAAAATTCGAGTGCAGTCCCTGAAAATTGGCTTGATGTCCCTTTCTAAGGGCCTTCTGGAAGAGAAGTACCGCTGTAAGGAAGAACGTATTTTATAAAATGCTTACTTAATATAATTAAGTCATGTAGAGTAACAACACACATTGCAGCAAAATATGTAGTAAAACATTTCTCGAGCTTGTAGCAAGGCAGTTTTCTTTTGAGCACCTAAACCAGAGTTGTTGTTTTCATTGTTATCAGTGGATTCTGTTATCTCAGAAGCTTGAGAAATAGTGAGTACTATAAAAATATTTCTCAAAAATAATTGCAAGAGCAGAAGACAATTGAGTAACTTTGTGGAAATACACTCGGACAAATACAAAAGATGGATTAAGCACTATGTAAGAGCATCCTAGGTGATGGACAGATATATATTTGCAGTAGTTCCTTGACGCTCTTCAGAAACACGTGTATAGAGCCTGTATTTGCTGTGTATCATTGGAACTCTGCAGCAATTTCTCTTCTCCTTAGATAATCTTGTAATCTTGGTTATTTACGAAGAGCAAAAGTACGGGTATCTTACGCATTGGAGCATATTTTGGCATCTGAATGGCATACCAAAACTTTGGAGCTTTTAGTTTGCGTATGTCCTTTGACATATCTGTGAATCAGTCCATAGCTGAAAGAGCTTGATGGATGTGCCTTTGTTCAGTAATGTTGATGCAGGGGATAATCTGCCATTTGGTGTGACGTAAAAAGCTTTTATAAAGTGTAGCAATTAGTTAAGCACAGACCCTGCTTTAAATGTTGTAGCCTTAGAGAGGCATATTCTTCTCAAAGTAGTTGGTAGCAAAATAAGCAAGTTTCTTTCTTTAAAATCTTTTGGATGAACCCTTCAGTCTTCAGTCAAGACTGCCTGCCTCGAGTGTTTTGTACCTCGGCCTTTCCAGAAACCAGCCTTTTAGGGATCAACTTGGGGAAGTGAGATTTCTGGGCTGCTGAGACATTGAGTTTATGAAATAATATAGTAACCTGAGAGAGGACAGTGATTTCAGTTTTTCAGTACTAGTAACCTCCATCTTTTTCTCTTACCTTTTTGGGGAAATCAAGCTTTGATTTCTTTCCTTCCTTTAATGGAAGTCACATTCATTTCCAGTAAAAACAAGAATTCTGCTAAATATATGTTCGTTTCTGGTATAGGTAGGATCTTTTCATTTGCCACGTTTTTTACGTATTTTCCCAGAGAAACTCCTGTGAGTTTTATTTTTTTTTAAATTAATTAAGCTTCTTTTTAATATGCTAGACTTCAGGGTTGACGTGAGAATGGATCTTTAATTAAAAAAGTCCCAATTACTTTAGAAGAAACATTGAAGCCTCAATTAATGAATGCCTATTCTTGAAAATGCTTAAATACATGCTTACTTCAAGCACATGCCTGGGTACTCCTGTGAATAAAAATGGACCTGTAACTGTAATTGAGTTACTGTGAGCTGGTTACATCTATCCTTGCAGGGCAAATAGTTCAGGGCTTCTTTTCTGTTGGTGAGGCCAATGACCTGATCTGGCTTGTACCCGCGTTATGCTGTCCTTTCTCCCTGTAACAGGGGTTTGGGCCAAATCTGAAAATGATCCCAGGCCCTGCCTAACTCTCACATCATTCCTTGCTATTTTGGGGGCGAGAGTTAGTTGTCTTTGATCAAAATCATGAAGGATACACTTTTGGCAGCTTCATGGTACAGATGACAAAGTTCCAGTGCTTGGGCATAGATCCTGGTGCTGCTGCTCAGTTTACAGCTATAGAAGTAGCCCTTACAAATGGAAAAGAAAAAACAACAAAACAAGGTGCACACAACAAAAGGTAATACTAGTTTAGTTTGAAAACACTCAGAGCATACATTATTAGCCAGCTTCTGAATACCGTGGGAAAAATGAAAGATTTTTAACCACTCAATTTTAGTGTCCCAGTTGTTCTCAGATGCTAAATTTTAGTCATATCCACAAGTCCTTGCAACAGTGAAAAATCTAATATGCACATGTGGTTATTCACAGCAGGTGTCATGCCTAGTCATGCTATCAGGAGACAATGTCTCAGTGAGTACGGATTTTCTGAGGGACAGCATATCTTCCCTCCACTTTTTTCAGTTTCAGAGGTGAAGAGAAGTCATAGCAATGTTAATAACTGGGCGTACATTTGTATGTGTTTCACTGTTACCTGGGCTCTGGCGCATTTTTAACAGAGAAAGCCCAGATTGACAACAGAAGCAGAAAATATACATACAGTTTTATTTAATGTGTAGATTTTGTGTCATATTATTTAATGCATAAAAACTGCAGGATTTGAGGATTTGAAAAATCTCATCTGTGAAGCAGTTCTGTTTCCAGGTGATGTACAAAATCCGCAGAATGTGATTTATTTACTGTTATGTTTGTGTTAATTTTCAAACCATTTGGTGATAGTTTAAAAGAAAAAAAAATTTAAAAATATGCATCCTGTTTGTAACAATGCAACATAAAAGGTGTGTTGTGGACATCTTACTAACTGTCTTATTACTATTTTGGTAGGTATTTAATAAACTTTTCAACACTTTCAATTATCCCCTTCTATACCAGCCAATAAATACATTTTTTTTTCTTCAGGTTGTTCAGTTAAGTTGCAATATGAGTCCTGCTGGCTGTCGTTCTCAAAATAATAGTGTGAGGCTGGATTTAATTTAAATGACTTTTTTTTCTCTTGTTTCTGTTTTTTCCTGTGGCTCAGGTCTGAATTATCTTTTCTTTTGCTTCCTCATTCATTCTTCTTGTCCTTTTGGTAGAGTCCCTTATACAGTCTAACTTTTTTTCGATGTATTTTACGTATAAACTTGTACTAATATGTATGTATGTGTCGACAAGTCATTTACATGAATTCATGGCTTCTGACATTGCTGGTGGGTGATATACAAGGTCCCTTTTACCACTGATGTGTGTATGGTGTCTGGGTGCTCCCTGTCAGAGCTAAAACAAGCCCTCCTCCCGTACATCTGCCTCTTCAGAGCTGCTCTCCGCATTTCCTCTCTACCAGGGAATAGCTTGTGAGTTACTTTGGGCAGGCAGGCCAGACAGCAAGGACATTTTGGCCTTCCATACCTTTAGTTTCGGAGCGTCTCCTCTTGTGTGTCATGCTGAAGGCATTGAGAGTTTGGGGAAAAGAGGACAGCTTGCACCTGGACACTCATCAATTATGGCACAGCTGAGAGTGCTAAGTTTTGTTTGGCTTTTGTTCTGGTTGGGTTTTTTTGTTTGTTTGGTTGGTTTTTTAAGTGGAGTGTTTTGGAAGAGTTTGAGCTTTTCAGAGGTGTTTGCTGATTACCTGCTTGGATCAACCCTAGATAATCACTTTCCCTAGTCCCTCTCCTGCTGCATTGTTTTTCCTTTATTTACTGGTTCCCCAATGAAATGAAGTTTTAGGGCTTAGAAAATTTACTTCCGTCTTCCTCCCAGCTGCAGCAGTTAATCAACTAATCTTCTTTTAGTGCCTGTTTTCACTATAGACTGGTGCAAACAAAAAGAATAAATCCAACCACAGCTGGAGAAGCCAGCCAGGATCTAGAATGACCAAGATGAGCCTGCAGCCGTGCAGTACTAGTTCTGTTACCAGTTGTTGTCTGTGGGGTTTTCTTCTCACCACTGAACACTGAAGATACTGTAGCATTTGTTTGATTAGGCAAGAAAGGGGCAAGAAAAAGACTAAAATGCTAAAAATTCATTCAGGCATCTGAATTCCTATTTTGTGAAAATCCTTTCTTCTGCCTCAATCCGCTTTGTCAAGAAAAAAAGTATGACCAGACTTTCTGAAGCACGCTGACAGAGCTTGGCAGTTGCTCTACATGAAGGGCGAAGCAATATACACTGTAATAAAAGTCTCTCTTGTTTCTGAGCTTGTCTGTTTTTCAGTCGGAAGTGCGATTCGATAGAATTTTCAAAGTTCATTTATTTCTATTCTATTAAAGGTTGTTCTGGTGGGAAGCATGAAAAGTAGGGGAATAGCATAAATGAGTTGGTTTGGGATTTTTTTGTCTTTTAAGATTACTTGGAGCTTTAATCCAAGCTGGCCACTGAGTGCAGAAGGAGAACATAAAAGCCAGTTGGAATGAACACAAAGAATTCACTTCCATTTCTTCTGTAATTTGTACCAATCACAGAATTTTAAAGTATTTCTGAGATGAGCCCAGTGTTTAAGGTATTTTCAGAGGAGACTCATCTTGTGACCAAATATTATTGTACACTCCTACAAAGTTTATAAATCAAGGATTGTTTAGCAGAAACCTGTTAAAAATGTCAAGAATTAAAATTTCTCATCAAAGAACAGTGTTAAGGAAGCACTTAAGAAATATTATCTGTACTGCAGACAGGCCTATTAATTCAGTGCTTTACTGTTCCTCTTAAGTAGGTACAAGCAATATCTTTCTTCCCAGTGTCTGTATTTGGAACAGTTTTCTTGACCACTTTCAACCTCAATTTTTACTGTCATTCCAGTCATCCCAGAGTGTCCACTTCTACTGCAGGGCTTGACACCTATCTTAGGAAAAGGGGATCAGTAAAAGCAAAGTACATGGTTGTCCGGGAAGCAAATGAGATTAATGTTAAGCTCAAGTTGTCTTGCTGGCTCCTACTCTTGCTTTAAGCTATTTCACATAGCTTAAGCAGGGAGCAGCTGTGACTTGAGGTAATTTCTATACTCAGTTCAGAGCAAATGTGCTTCAGTCCCCAATCAATCAAAGGGTGGCATGGATTTTAGCATTAAGGTATGGGTTTCTGAAATATTTCCTTCTTTATAGAGTCATATAATAGTTTGGAAGGGACCTTTAAAGGTCATCTAGTCCAACCCCCTGGCAGTGAGCAGGGAAATCTTTAACTAGATCAGGTTGCTTAGACCCAGTCTTGCAGTTCATCTGCTCGAGGGGTGTGGGAAGAGAGGTTGCCAGTGAAGACTGAGGCACAAACCTTGTTGAGTACCTCCTCCTTCTTGTCATCTGTTGTTGTCAGCTTGCCAGTCTTGCTCATCAAGGGGGTGCACTTTCTTTGACCTTTTTTTTTCTGGCTGATGTACCTGTAGAAGCCCTTCTTACTATCCTTTGCATCCCTTGCCAAGTTCAGCTCCAGCCTGGCCTTGGCCTTCCTGACCCCATCCCTACAGAGCCGGGCAATGTCCCTGTACTCTTCCCAGGATACTTGTCCCTGCTTCCACTGCCTCTGCAGTTCCTTCTTGCCTTTTAGCTTGATTGGCAGGTCTTGACTGAGCCGTGTCGGTCTCTTGCTTTCCTTGCTGCACACCTGGGGATCCAGAGCTCTTGCACTCTATGGAAAGTGTCCTTCCCTAGTGATAACATAGAAAATGTAGTAAATATGGGGGGGAGATGTGGTAATGATGGATTAGAACAAAAAGCTGTTCTAATTTTTTGATGTCTCTTTTGTTATTCACACAGCTGCTCCTACATAAAACAGGAGCTGCCTTGTCTTATTGTGAGATGCCGTAAGAAGCCATGTGGTTTCATTCATTCAGCCTTACTTTTCTCACGTGTGTGGTTATGGATCAAGAAAACACAGTCAAAGTAATTGAGATTAGATGAGGGCTAAACTGTTGTACATGGGGCCGTGGCCATCTATAACCACGACTGGATTATAAGAATTATGAAGCTTGAGCTGCAGTGTTACTGAGTAAAAGGGGTTGTACAAGGCAATGAAATGAACCAGCACCTCTTGTCGGTGTTTCAGATCTCTTCAAGGAGGTGGCAGGCCCCACAGAAATGTGTGACCAGAGGCAGCTGGGCCTGCTGCTTCACGATGCTATCCAGATCCCACGGCAGCTTGGGGAAGTGGCAGCCTTCGGTGGCAGCAACATTGAGCCCAGCGTGCGCAGCTGCTTCCAACAGGTAAGACAACAAAGACCTTCATGTGAAAAAATCCCACGTCTCTGGAGTCTTAAGATTCAGCTTTACGTGGGGTAAAAAAAGAAGAATTTAAAAATATCCCTTAAGTTTTTAAACAGAAATGCTTCTGCGACTGAATGTGGGAAGTTATTTGTGAAAATGCAGCTGTAAAATATGGTTTATGGTTTAGGAGAGGATCAAACAAATTACGTTTAGCAAAAAGAATATATAAATCTTTTTGATTTTGACAATATTGGCTGCTGTAAAAGCTCTTTAAAATTTTTGTGGCAGCCAATTATCCTGCTTTACATCGTTCAAAGCAACCTGATACTGTGAGAACAACGTGCTTTTCCCTGCTGGAACAAGACATGATCTCAACAGAACAAAAGAGTGATGTTGATAGTAATTTTTGACCTTGTGCATCAGGAAATTATTTGGCATTATTTTACTAACAAAAGAGCTTGTAGTTCCATGAAACTTCAAGCACAGTCGTTTATATACGGTGAGCCTTTATGCAGCAACTCAGAATGTGGAATAAAGCTGTCTTACAGCCTGCTGTTCAGCCACACATTACATGTAGGGGCTAAATGAGGCTGCAAGGAGTGTCTGTCTATTTAAAGAAGATGAGAATTAAAAAGAGGATGTTGTAATGGAACACCACCTAACTCAGACTTTATCAAGGACGCTTAAGGCTCTGAGTGTTTACTAGTGATACCTATAGTTCTTGAGTATATTGTTTCTGTGAAGGTAGCTGCTTTGAGCATTGTCAGAAACTATATGTGGACTAAAAATTCACTATGGTGTGCATAAAATTACTGACTTTAATATTTCTGATTTTATTGAATCAAATATAAATATAGTTAAATCTTAGAGTGAACTTTTAGAGCGTTTTTCTTTTGTCATGCTTTCATAGACATTTCTATGTTTTCATCCAGAGCTTTGAAAAATTCAGTTGTGCTAGCTTTTTTTTCAGAACGATTAAATTCTTTTCTGGATTCTGAGATTATTGGAATTAGAAGAGTTTCTTGGTCCTGAATGATTTTGTAGATACTTACAGAAGTTGGTTTGACCAATTAACCACATAAAACTTCCCCTGAGGTTTTAACATTGCTCTTTCACACACTAAGGGATGATGCTCGACATACCTATCACTGGCCTCGACTGGTTCAAGTCGTACCAAAATAAATTTTTCTGTCACATAAGAATGATCTTTATGTCCCTCAAGGATCTGCCCCATCTCCCATGCTGTTCAATTATGGGTGAGGGCTACCAGCAAGGTAGTGTTTGAATACTTCATGTGACATTAGGATTATACTGATGATGAGGGTGCATCCTTCATCTCATATGAGTAGCTCAAATTCAGTCCCTGGTCATTATGACAGCATAGAGGAAGTGTGCAGCTGCATGACAGTTAGCCTAGCGAAAAGCATGTTATTTTTTTTTTATGCTGCTCCCTCATACTTGCAAAAATTTGACTTTGACTATGAATAGGTTAAGAAGCCTAGTGCTTCTTTGCAACACCTGTTACCATTTAAGAATAACTTTCATTCTAAGTGGTGTTTTGTTACTTCCAGTGAGCTTAGAAAAATAACCTCTGTTCTTATTGCTGGCAAAGTTGTTGAATATAATACTTTTACAGCTAGGCTTCTCTGTTGGTTACAATTTAAAGAGAATGTGGAAGCGTGTTTGTTTGCTTCTTTGAACAATCATTCTAATACTTGAGCTCTGCTGTATTCTTGCAGTGATTGCCTGTAAGTGGGAGATTTCTCTCTTTCTCTCATTATTTATTTACCTACTTATTTATTTGTGTGTGTTTGTTTAATGTGCTAACTTGAAAGAATACAATGGGCTCAGAATGCAATAAAATAATTACATGAGTCTCATGGTGATTAGTAGACACACGCAATTTTTTTGACAATTTTAACTCAAAAAGCAACCATATCTGTAGTGTGTCTGAACTGCAGAACGTTTCACTTTCATGTTCCCTTACTTCTTCCTCAGGTCCTTTTAGTTCAAAGATGGCTTTACTATGGGCTCCATGGCTATGCACTCTGTATTTTTTACTCATCTACTCTACCTCTATGTCTACTCTATCACAGCTGTTAAGTCCACTATATTCTTACTAACTTCTTTTCTTTATTTGCTTTTTAATTGAGGTGATTTCTTGTATCCTGTAGCTGGTTTTACATTAATCTGGTACGCAAAGGAGTAACACGGGTTGGTTTTTTTGTTGTTTTAAATTGAATTAAAAGGAAATGTGTAATCATAGAATGTGTTGAGTTGGAAGGGGCATTTAAAGGTCATCTAGTCCACCCCCCTGCAGTGAGCAGGGACATCTTTCACTAGATCAGGTTGCTCAGAGCCCCATCAAGCCTGACCTTGAATGTCTTCAAGGAGGGCGCCTGTGCCACCTCTCTGGGCAACCTGTTTCAGTGTTTCACCAGCCTCATAGTGAAGAACTTAAATTCGCTTGTCTGTGCATATTGACTGTGTTGTTTGTTTTGATTTTTTTTTAATTTGGATGTGCTTTTTTTTCTCTCCACAGAACCACAATAAGCCAGAAATAACTGTAAAGCAATTTATAGATTGGATGCGCTTAGAGCCGCAGTCTATGGTATGGCTACCAGTTTTACATCGTGTGGCAGCTGCAGAAACAGCAAAACATCAGGCCAAGTGCAATATCTGCAAAGAGTGTCCAATTGTTGGCTTTAGGTGAGGGCAGGGAGGGGTTGGGTGCAAGGTTTCTCTGAAAATATCCACATTTTTAAATCTTCCAACAAGTACAATTCTTTATCTGTTTTTCCACTCTTTTCCTGCTTAACTTTGGGAACTGCCACTCCTGGTTGAGGCCACGGTGCCACCTGAGCATCCCCGGCCCCCGTGGTGCGGATATCAGACACCCCGTGGTCCTGTGACTGAGGGGTGTGCAGGGTGGGCTTGTCCTCAGGTGTTTTGATATTGGTGGGTCCATAGGTAGTAAATGAAGTATAAATGCACACCATGTGTTCTGTAAGCACAAGACCAAAAGGAACTGGCCAGTAAGAAAAAATGTGGGCTGCCCATCAGCTCTCCTGCATAAGACATGGGAAGCTAATTTATGCCAGGCAATATTAAACACTCTTCCGCAACAATTTTTCCTCGCTTAGCACCAATATTGATATGTTACTGTGATGAGACTTGTCAGTTCCTGCCTGAAGCATCGACCATAATCTAATTTTTGTCCTTTCAAAGGAAGCTGTGAATTCTAAAAGAAAAAATGACACCAGGGATATTCTCCATTTTTCCTCCTAAACTGTATGATTCTACTATAAATTATATCATGGGGCATGAGCCAGTTGGTGTCCCTAGTGATATTACAGCTAATGTGTTTGTGAATTGGTTTCTGCAATGTATAAAATGATGAGAAGAAAAAAAGTAGGGACCAGAGCTAAACATAACAGGCTTTTCTCCTCTACTGTGGTCATGAAGTCAAGTGTGTTATTTAGGAACAGTCTTTCTTGTAAGTTATTCTAAAACTTTTCTTTAGATATCTAGGCAGATGAGTAGTTTTTTTCCCTGTGCTTCCTGTTTCTCCTTCTTTCTGTTTTTCTAAAGGATAGTAGTATGATTCCTGAGGTCTTATAAGACTGAGCTAGCAGCCCTCTTCTTTTAGTATAAATATAGATATGTGAGTACTTCCAAAAGTAATTAATCTGATCAAACTTTGTTGCCTGCCTTAAGAGGAGACGAAATTCCTCTGAATGTTCCTATTTTTCTTAATTAATGCTTGAGGGAGAATAGTGTGACAAATCTCCAGATCACATATCTTTTAGATGCGTAAGCTGGGGCTGATGAATCTTGTCTGTAATGAAATATCTTGTGTGGAGAAGGGCATAGTCATGGAAAAGAAGAGAAAGGAAGACAAAGGAGTAGCTCATTCTAAATAATTTCTTCAATGAAGTTAGAGAGCTGCAACAACAAAAGCATCTGCCAAAAGGTAGATGTGGCCATTTGATACACAGGCTCTGAGTAAAGATCATAAACAGTTGCATCACCATCCTTAAAAGCGAACCTTTACGTTTATAGACACATATTCTCTTGCAAAACAAAACATAAAACTCAGCAGGGGAAAAATGTGGATTGGTACTGAAAATTGCTCTCAAGAAGCAATTTAATTTAAACTTTAACTATTCAGTAGCTATTAAATTTGTTTCAGTTAGCTCATTTTAGTGTCATACAAATGATATAACCTCATCCAGTCAGAAAAACAATACTGTTAAAAACAGTGGGCAGAATCTGGAATTGAACAGTGAGCTTTAAAAAAAAAAAGTCATGCTCCTGGTGGTTACATTTAACACAAGAGATACTCTGTATGTTTGTTAACATCTTTAGACGTATTACATGCCTTTTAAACAAAAATAAAGTAAATAAATCAATGTAATTTTAAAATCGTTTTATTTTGGTAATTCATGAATTATCAAGAGTTTTATTCTCTGAAATGCGCTTAAAATTTCTGAGCGTCAAAGTGAAGTACTAACATTCAAGCTAACCGATAGATATAAAAACTTATGGAAATAAACCAGTCTGATTTAGAAATGTTTGTTCGGGGTTTTTTTTGAGATACCATCTGAATGTTAAAGAGAGGAGAAGAAAAATTGAAGCAATATAGTTTTAAGTCAGATTGAGCTTTAATCATAAACACTCCACACTCCATTTATGAAGCTGGTGCCTGTAAGGTTCTCTGCTTCAAAGCAACTTGGGCAACATACGATTGACATTGGCTCTCTGTATGGCTATAGGAGGCAGGAATTTCTTTTAAGTACTCAATGAGTTGGCCTGTGTAGCGTAGGAAGGCTGTGTGAACTGGTCAAAGAGGGCTGCAGGTTTCACATGTCCCGTCTTGCTGCTGCAGCATCCCCAGTGCTCCTGGGTCGGCAGCCGCGGCGAGTGCCGGCTGTGCTGCCTCCAGTCACGCTCACCTGCGTGCTTCAAGGTGCTTTCTAAGCTAATCCCAACAAACTCGCTCTGTCCTTGGGTTGCTACTGCTGCTGCTGGAAAGCAGATGACACCATTGCAGAGAACAATTTGCCTCGTGAGGCTAAATAACAAGTAAATATTAGAACTAAACTTAGGAAGCTCTAATTGCTTTGTTTAATGTCCCCATAGGTACCGGAGCTTAAAACATTTCAACTATGACGTCTGTCAGAGCTGTTTCTTTTCTGGCCGTACGGCAAAGGGGCATAAATTACATTACCCAATGGTGGAGTATTGTATACCCGTAAGTACCAATTTACTGAGTGTTCCCGAGGGATTTGGTTTTGCATTATTTGAGGTCAAATACTTTTTCATAGTCTTTTGTCACCTAGATGTTTTGCCAGGATTTCTTTTTCATGTTTAGCAGGACCTGTCTTCCTGCCCGGAAGTGATCAGAGACTGTGCTAATGATGCTGGTTTTATGTGGGCGGTGTATGGATTCTGTAGAAATGGGTAGAAGTAGCCACTTCTGAGAGAACTTGAACTTCACTTTTGTTTTGTAAAAACAAAGCTAGAATATTAAATATAACTGCAGTACTTGCATAACTGCACATGCTCACACAGGCACAATAAAGGTGAGGACATGTCGGAGGAAAGGAACTCAGTTTACTATTGGTATACCATAGTGAAGAATATTTAATATCCTAGTAATGAACTTGAATGTTTTAAAAGGTGTATGATCTTTGTTTTCAGGGCTAACATTTCATCTGCTTCATGAAAACATGATTGGAAATATGTCATGTTTCATTTTGCTGAGTAATTACTGTTTACTGGGTTATTTTAAAATTGGTGGGTAGCTGACAAAAAAATAAATAAATGGAATTAAAAGTTTCTAGCCAAAAATGGTGTGAGAGTTTTGCCTGTAACAGCTAACAAAAATTCATTTTACAACACAGTAATTTCCTAATGAAATTTAAGACATGATTTTTTTTAAGGAGGTTTCTGGGAGACTTTCTCTAAGTGAAGCAGGTAACTTCATACAAATACCACTTACACTTTGTTTTTTTAATCTGCTAGTTGTTTACATTCTTAAGAATTTTAACTCAGTCATAAATAAATTAATAGAATTAGTTATGTAATTTAAACAGTTCTGTATGCTCAGAAAAAACAAATTCAGGCCAGAATGTAAATAGAGCTGATGACACAGAGTTGATTTCCAATTGTGTTACAGGGTTCTGTGGGTTCTGTTACTAGCAAAAAGAACCCAAAAACAATCACTGAGTTATTTGACTGTCTTTTGCTGTAGTAGTTGGGCTTATTAACTGTGTTTTCCCTCTCCATCCAATGTGTCTACCATAACAGAATTCAAATTCTGTTAAGTAGTGTTTTCACTTCATTGTGATCAGAAGAAACCATGAGTTATGTTAATTTATTTTCATTAATTCTATAACTTAATGTAAACATTTGATTGATAAATTTGCATGCCAGGCTACAATCTGAAGAATTTTTTGGAGGTACATTTATTGTTTTTTAGTCAGTTCTAATGTTTGTTATATTCTGGCACTCATTTTCTCTTTCTGCCTTCTCTTTTCAGAAGTCATTTTCTGCTTTGGTTTTATGCTGGTTTTGTGGTATGACATAGGCCCAGCTTTATCCATACTTACACAACTGTTCTAGCCCTCAGGATGTGGAGATCTACAGTGTTTTCTTTCCTTTATTAGATCTCACTAAAGATATGATGATATTGGTTGTTTACTTGCCTCCTTAGACAACATAATCCAAACAGTCTGAACATGTTTGAGATGTATTTTTCTTACATTCACTTTTTCTTTTCCTTATAAAGTTTTCTCACACCTCATTTTTAGTTTATCTCATGATCATGGAACAGAAATGTTTGTTATAAGATACAGAAAATTCAGAAAGGAACGTGTAAAGTGAGTCAAAACATACAATGCTGTCAGTCCGCAGAATAAGATATGCTTCCTGTTGCATTAGTCAAATACAGATTGCCCTCCCTTGAACAAGATGGTATATTTCTGATAACTGTCAGGTTTTGTCTAAAGCAGCAGATTTGGTATCTGAGAGCAATTTTTAGTTCCTGTTAAACATGTTCATATTACGTAACTGGGCTATTTCATTTACGAATAGAGACTTCCATAGAGAGAAATATGTTCTGGAAATGACTGAACTCTCAGTGTACCTGGGACTAGGGGCAGTTTCTATTGTAAGGAAAATTTCTGCTACATGTGCAAAAAGAATATAGTTTTAAAGCAGTATTAGGTGCAAAATAAGGTAACTTAGGCAAAAGTCCTTTCTTTCCATGAAATATGGGAGGAATGAGGAGAATAAAATGACATTCTTGATTAAAGTGAGCAAAGGCAGGCAAGCATATGTGAGGTAAAGGAAGGAAATTGGGGTAAAGTAGAACAGAATAAAAGAGACGGCATATAATTCAGGTGATGCATAAAATTAGAGGTCCAGCACTGACCCCCATTAATTTGAAAGCTGAATATGGGAGCTGGATTCTTCTCTTGTGACCTGCTATAAGTACACTTTGCTAGCTCCTTTTCTGTAAAAAGAAATGACCCATTATATGAACAGACTTCTTACATGCATGTTGAACTTTCATAATCAGTACCTACAAATAATCCATTTTAACTAATCTCATCTGAATTAGATCAAGAATAAAGAATTGATTTCACAAAAATAATCCAATTTTATTTATTATTACTATTTGTAATAATACATTTTGGTTGGTGTACTAATCTGTTGTTAAACCTCTCTACATATTGAACTCATTTAATTCAATATAATAGTCAAGAATTGCAAAATTCTTTGCAGTAGGTTACTCGAACAGCTTGTATGTTTGAATAGAATGCCTGAAAAGCAGCATAGAGCTGGGTGTGTGACATAAAAAAAAAGGTACCAAAGGTCAATGAATTGTTCCTTAGAGTCCATTATATAACAGTGCAGATAGTCTGAATAGGAAAAATGTATCTGCTCTACCTTTTCAACCAAATTCAAAGGCTGCTGATATTAAAATGTTACTTTTGTGGCCAGTGTTGCAAAGCAGAGTGCAAATACACATACTCATCAAACTGCGTTAATAAAATCTAGCTTTCCTTTCTTGCTGTTAATGTATAATATCAAGAATACTAGCAATAATTAGGAAAAAAATGTATCCCTGCCTAATGAAGTTGGCATTTGGAACTGGAGCTTAGTCACAGACGGAGGGAGGACCTTTGGGTAAGCAGTTCAGTCTTGAGTATGAAGGGATTTCTCTGAAGCTCAGTTACTTCTACTTAAATTTAAAATAATTTGGAAAATGGCATAAGGAACCTGCTTTTAAAATTAAATTTGCAAGGGGATGGTTCTCGTTTTGAGTTCTGTGATATTTGTATCGGTTGAGAATTACTTCATAATTTCAAAATAGGGTTGTTTACACCAGATAGTTTTGTGTAGTTATTACATCCCAATCTGTAATGCCATTTAGCATTCATCCTACTTTGCAATTTCATTTTTTTGATGCTGGAAATGCAAAAAAAAAAAAATCATAATAATGACTTTGGTCATGTCTTTTGTCTTTCATTGGGGATTTAAAGATGGATGGGATATGGAACTGAAAGCGTGAACTGAAAACTGAAAACATCTCTAACTAGTAGAACTGCAATTATTGTAGTTATTTTTTCACCTTTAAATAGTGTTTCTCTAAAGAGATGGATAAATAGGATTTTTAATGTAGATTTTTGCACAGAGAAGTGTAACAAATTTTTAAGATATTTGTAGTATCTAATTCAGGATTACTTTTACGTAAGTACTTACATAATTTATTTTTGGGGTATTTGTTGAATTAAAATTCTCTCTGTAATGGTACTTGTGTTATATTAATGTGGCTTTCTGTACCAACGGGTCCTTTGAATTTCGGATGGAAATACTTACTTTATCAGCTTGCTTTCTCCAAACTGTTTCCACTTCACAACTCCTGTATTCCATGGTAAGACCTTTAAAAGCAGGTTTTCTGAGATAGTGTATAAATATCAAATCATGAGTTCTGAAAATTTTCTCATTGCAAGTAGTCTTAGTTCCTGGCCTCTGTGAAAGCCGTTCTGTGCCACAGCATTCACCTAACACAGCTCCTTGTTTTGGGCACTGGTTTATTTGTAGCCTCTCTATACAAAACAATGACAGCAAAGGTTAGTCCCTCTGTCTTCCAGATGGCCAGAATTTTATTCCCCTGAAAGCTCAGAACATGATAGGCGAGACATCAGAAGTTATTGGTGGAATGATAGTTCACCCTAGGGTGAATTTATTTTCCAGGCACAATAAAGCTTATCTGCAATAATGCCTGTTAAGACTTCTCCTCTAGGTAAGTCATCTGAAAATTTAATTGCTACTGACATCCAGAGAAGAAAGATACATTCCTGAACATTAAGCAGCCTCAGTGTTTTTTTAAGCAACCAACTGACAGAAGTCAGTCAGTGGTTTCATCTTGATGTGCTTATCAATGCACCAAGCATGACGCTTCACTGTTATCAAAATGGGATTGTTCTGTGAGGAAGATGAAAGAGAGCAGCAAGAATTGTTGGATCTGGTTATTTTGTGTGCAGAACATTGCTTCTAGCTGTGGCATTCAGAGATTACTCTTTGCCGTGAGAAGAAGAGCTATCTGGTCAGGGCAGTCTGATGCCTAGCAGCGAGGCAAGGTGCTCTTGCAGTTGCTCAGTTGGCTGGCTTATGTTGTCTGCCACCTTTTCGCAACTTTGTTAAATTGCGAGGTAAGTTAGTTACTATTGAAATTTCTGCCTGATTTCATTGGAGTAAATTAAAATACACGTGCAATGTATAATTAAACTCCTTTTGGTGAGAAATTGCCAAGAAATTAACATGTTGGAAAGTGATTATATAACGGTAATCTTCACAGTGTTACACAGTGCAAGCATCGCTGATGTGGCAGCCATAAATACAGTTGTTATACCTTTAATAACCTAATTTTTGTGGCATCCTATCTCAAGAGATGTGAGATGCTTTTTAAGAATTTTTGAAAGGGAATGAATGTATGCACTTAAACATGTTTTTAGGTCATTGGTGAAATTGCATTCTTAAGTGTCACTTTTTGAAAAAGGAAAGTAAAGGAATGGAGTGTCTGCCCCTACCCTACATCCTGTGTTGGGGAGTTTCCCAGCTTACCAGTGGTACCCAGGTCTCAGCTGCTTTAACATGCAGCTATCACCGTACCTGCACATATCGTAGCTGCTACCATAAGTAGGTCTAAACATTTTGTTTTCCATCAAGAACGGTCAGACTTGGTACAGATTCTACCATGTTACAGATGAATGAATGTCAAATAAAAATATGGATATGTAAAAAAGTCTGGGTTTTGTTGGGTTTTGGTTTTTTTTAAACCACAAACCTTAAAATTTACTAAAGCATTTGAAGAGTATCAAATTCAGGTACAAGGGCTTCTATTAAAGAATAAACTGAAGTCCTTTTAAATTACATAGATGCTTTCTTACACAGTGATGTCAATTTTACAGTATATGTCTTACTACACAAAATGCAATTTCTTGGAACTTGCTTGTTTATATTGTGTACTGAATGTCTGTAAATTTGTCTTCAGCTTCCTCATAACCCATGAATGTCTTTGAGATTAATCAAAGCTTTTGTTAGTGAGGTTCACATTGCTTCTGGGAACCAGTTTCCGCATGTATATTGGAACAGCTCTTTTTTTGTTTTGTCTTAACAGAATGAAAACTTAAGTTCAGAGTAGTCCTTTTACATAGATATTTAAAGCAAAAGGAATGGGAAATTATTGGGCTTTCATTATCACTTTGGATTTTTTGAAAAGAGAGGAAAGTGAGAAATAAATATAAGCAAATATATCTATATATTATAGATATTATACATTGCATGTTTATTTCTTATAATTTTAATATTATACACTATTTAATTCAGTGTTCACCAACTGGTTTATTACATTCTTGGTAGAACTTCTTCCCGACAAAGACTTGTTCTAATATATTAAAAATACATGCCAACTGTTTTTTTAACCTACATATGAAAACAATGTCTCACCATATTCTGTTTTTTCCACTGCTTTCCATGAATTCCAGTTTCTTAAATTTGTGTTGGTTTACAAGGAGTTTTATCTGTGTTCAGTTTGTGGCTTATGACTCCATTTATACCTGTCTGGACTACAGAAAAGTGCTAATGCCAGTTTGTCATTTGTTACAGATTTTCTCCTTGAGACTTTCTGCTACAGATGTTTTTTTAGTTATGTGCACCAGCCATGGCTCTTAGTTATTCATTCCTGAATTTGTCGTGTTCTGATATTTTAAATTGAGTTTGAAAGCACGGTCTTTTGGCTGAAATTTTCACTGAAGGAAAGGATTTTTTTTCTCTGCTTTTGAAGTACTTCTGTAACTATGGTGGTATTTGTGTTGTTGACTTGTGTGGAAATAGTCAAGACGTCATGATCTGAGGAAGTGTACAAGCTACCTGTTAGTTTTAATTTAGTAGACAGATTCTATGCAATAGTGCCTGGCTGTTCTTTTCCGAAGGTAAAATGCTAGCATACTTCTCTCTTGGCGTGATTTTGGATTATGGAGTGTGGTTCTATGCAAAAACATAGAAGAAATACTTGTAAGGGTTTCATTTTAGTTGCATCTAAATTAAAATAGTTGTTCCAAATCTGCTTACTAGTTAGTATTTATTGTCAGGACACAGTCATACTAGTCTTTCCAAGGAACTGGGTCAGGCTGTCATACTGTATAAAGAACACACCAGAGGAAAAATTTGGCAGCTGGAGACATTTATTTCTGCCATGCGTAGGTGCGAAACCTTTCATTGCTTGGCCTCGGAACCGGGTTCCATCTGCCGGAGCTACTGTTGCATGAGGACGAGGGGCCCTTTGAGCTGCCTCACTTGTTTGGATGAAGCGGTGATTAGAGCAGATGCCTTCTGAAAATGATTTTGTGAGCCCTCCCTGAATTTATCTGTATTGAAATTCAAGGGTTCAAACACCTCTTAATCCCAAATTTGCCCACTTTGTTGTTACTTGTTAAAGCCACGTGTTTGAAACACCTACCAACATCAGTGAGGTTATCTACGTTTTTTTACTGCTAATCTGATCTGCATTACAGAGCTTGTAATTGCATGCATTGTACATATAGTAAAATACATCTGTGAATAGAGAAGTATATTTATGTTTTGACAATAGAGAATAAAATCAGAGAACAGTTTGCCTGACCTGCTTCTGAGCTTCTTTGTAATACATAATGGAAAATAAATTACAAAATAGGAAAGTCCTGTGTTCTGTTTTCCCTATAGATATCCCTCCACTTTGGCATCTTTTTTTTTTAGCAGGCTTCTCTCAAAGCAGATTTGCAGAAATACAATCTGTAGTTTGTTACAGGGCTTGGGCTAGAAATCTGTAGATGCCATTGCAAATCTTCAGCTAACACAGGAGGTGGATGGGCCACTTTCTTTTTACTGCAGTTGCAAGAAGAAATGCTTAATTGTAACTGCTGTGTGTGATGGGGACCACTCTGGTTTAGTACTCAGTACTGTCTGTAAGCATATAGAGTTTAAAGGCAGCCGTATACTATTCTTTCTTCTTGCAGGTCTCTGTTACCATTTTCACCTTGTCTGTGTGTTTTGCTTGTATCCCTGCTTTTGTAGAAGTAGTTAACTGAATAGTATCACCAGAGCAGTACTGCCATTATTGCTGTGATTATTTGTAGTTAAATTGACTTTCAGAAGCAATTACATCCATTTTAATTGTGTTATAAAGAACACAATTAATTTCATGTTGAGATGGGGAATGGGGCTAAGCACTTGTCAGTTTTGGAAGAGGCTGCATGGTGGAGACCAGCAAAAAAGCTGCTGGGGGTGGAGAGAGTTGCCAATTTTAACTTTAAATGTAAAGAATCTTGTGGTTAATTTTAGTACTAGTCTTATCCTGTGCTAGTAAAGAGGTAACCGAATCAGCCCTGGGAGTTTGTTGCTTGAGGCACTGATTGTTCTTTTCAGTCTTACCTCTGACTGTGCCTTTGAGCAGTGCCTGTACAGTGTTTGTCGCTTCATCTGTGGGTTTTTTTACTCTGCCTGAGTGGCAGAATCCTGCAGGAAGAGATCTGGGAACTTGAGAAAGTGTTTGTGAAAAACTTGGCCATTACTGCAAATAATGGTTTTGCATGTGCTACTCCCATCTCATGATAAAGTTTTCCAGTTTAGGTATAGAATGGGAGACAGTGAGTATTTTGTGGCACTTTGTGAATATAGCGGGCTGTGTTAGGTTTTCTTTTCTTCTTTTTTCTCTTCTTTTTTTTTTTTTCCCCTAAACAAAGCCATTACTGTTTGCTCTATTTTTTCAGCAGAGCCATTACAAGGCTTTTCTGTCTGTGCAGTGAGTCACAAGCTTCATGTGCATGAGTATAGTCAAGATTGCTTTCAGTGGCTAAGACTATCTCCTAGTATCTGGCAAACTGATTTCCTTTTTTCATTTTTCTGAAAAAATATATATTTCGGTTTTGTAAGACTGTTTATAAATGTATAACTTAAGACTCAAACCTGTTTAACTTCTTCTCTAATTTATAAAGTAATTGTTAAATCCAGTACATTTATTGCTGGAAATTTGAAGCCTCACTCTTTTTCCCAGTAGAAGACAATTTGTAGATGCGTTACCATTATTATTGTGCCATATTTCAGGACAGTAAAAAGGCAATTTTAACATCACTAACATTTTGAACTTCTTCCTTGTATCCTTTTTCAGGACAGTAGCAGCACTGTTTTCTCAATGCTATTTAGCAATGTTCAATTTAATTTCTTTTAACTTTTTAAGACGACATCAGGGGAGGATGTACGAGACTTCACGAAGGTGCTGAAGAATAAGTTCCGGTCAAAGAAGTATTTTGCAAAGCATCCGCGACTTGGCTACCTACCTGTGCAGACAGTATTGGAGGGTGACAACCTGGAGACGTAAGCTTGACTATAGAGTAATTGCTCCTGGGGTCGCTGGCCTATTCCATTAAAAACAAAAAAGTGAAACTCAAGAAATAATCTACAGCAGTTGTAAAGCCTTGTGCGGTATTATTTTCTATTAATCGTTTCGCATTATTTGCAGATCTAGCCTGGTTTTGGAAAATTAGCCTGATTTAGACTTTGATTTTTTTAAGCGTTTTATCATAAAGTCTTGTTTTTCAGCAGGTAATGTTGGAGGCAGCTGAATGGCTGTTTTACACTTTTATAGCTTTGGGGAGACTTTTGGAACTGCACTGCTTATTTTGTTGTGTCAAAGTCCCTGGAGTTAGAAATCTCTGAGCTAATTAAGTTCCTACAGGCTTCAGAAATCCAGGTGACCTAATAAAAGTGAGCACTCTCAGTTTCTCCACAGCATTACTTAGGGTGCTGACAGAAATACTCCACTTTATTTACTTACTTGCTGTAGTTGTCAGCAAAGGACACTCTTAAAAGAGCAAAATTAAGATGTGTTGACAGGGCCCTAGAAGTAGTTTCGTGGATTGACTCTCCTTGACATCGCGGAGCCCGCGGTGCCGCCGTATCATCTGACCACGGCACGGCCGAGCTAGCGACAGCGCCTGTGAGGCTTCAACACGGGTGCTCTGCTTGCCTGCAACAGCCCCGTGCCACGTTCTGCACTCTATTTTCATGTCCAGAGGACTGTACATTTTATTTACAACAAGCAAATGAAACCCGCTCATGAGCAGTTTGAAAAACAGGAGGGAGTAATCTGGAAACTGTCATGATTGGTGTCCTAGCTTCTAAGGAAGCAGCACACATTCAAATGTTAAAATGTTACTCACCAAGGCAGTCCTCGTCTGCCACAAAGACATGAAAGCAAAGTTGCTTTGATTTGATGGAAGTTTGCCAATGCTGCCAGAAATTGGGATGTCAAGCCTATAATCACAAGTCAGAATAAAACTCTCTTGGTCCAGTCAGCTCGGAAATATACAGATAAATTGCCAGCATCATGCTGAGGAAACTGTTGGTATTGGTTCTTTCCCCTGCAGGTGGCAAAACTCAGTAATATGTTGCTTTAAATAAAGAAAAAAAAAGTCTAATTAGTTACTCAGGTGTCAGACTGTAATAGAATGTGTATTTACCTCTGATTATTTTTATGCAGAAGGAAAATAGCCATTGATAACTTTGACTTGTGGAGTTTTTTTGTTGTCAATCATGTTTCTTTTCCCCCCTGATTTTTTTCAGTAAATATATTTTCTAGCTAGTTTAAAATGAAAAATCTGGTCCTTGGATAGAATTTAATTAAAATGAACTGATTATAGTTTATGAGCTGCAGTTCAATCAATAACACTGATTCAGTATTTTTTTAAAAAATTGATTTTTCTTTAACAAAATGAAGTATGTAAGTCAGTCTCCTGTGTCTTCATGATACATGGCAGTATCTGTTAACTGTCTCTTTTCTACGTTAGTTGTTGCTGATTCAGATAGTCTGTGTGGGTTGCTGGTTAAAATATTTTGTGTTTCTCAAGCTTTCTCTTGCTTAAATAGCAGTAAAGTTTTTGTTTCATAGTTTCTCTCTTTTCTTTTTATTTTTTTGTGTGTCTTCCTTACAGTCCTATCACTCTCATCAGTATGTGGCCAGAGCAATATGAGTGAGTATGCAAAATCTCTTTGTCTGGAAAGCTTATTATACTAGTTCTTTTCTTTTAGCTCAGTTGCAGCTAATCCGATGTGCATGAGTTTGACCCAAAGCAATAACACCCTTGGCAATATTGTGAATTTATTTATTTTTCATCAGTCTAACTTACTTTAAAAATAATGGCATCTATAATATGAATTGCTTTAGATACCACTAATTTTTTTGTTTGTATGTTTTTATTTTTAAACTAGTCCTTCCCAGTCTCCACAGCTGTTTCATGATGACACACACTCCAGGATAGAGCAGTATGCTACCAGGTAAGAGATGTTTCTCACCAGTACACTGCATTTTGTGATTGATTCCTGCAGATTTTAATATGGTCTACTGACTGGACATTATTTATTAAAATTTATACTTCTCTTTACTCAGAAGTCAGATGTTTTTAAACCATAAACTTCTGAATATAGTAATAGTAAAATAAATCTGTTAAATCTATCATCTGTCACTGCTGCAGAATTACTGTCTTATTTCCAAAATATGCTCTTTTCCTTTTGTTTCCTCATTTTAACTTTTGACTGAAATTGAACTTGTTGGGTATATAGTTTTTCCCTGTAGATTTTAGATCCAGCATTTCATTTTCTTCATGGACAGCTTGACACTGTCCATTGCCATAGACTTTTAGCAGAGCATATAATAATTACAGATGCTTATGTTCTGGCTTTTGTAGGGTCACCCTAGTGACCCTCATGATAAAGTATCTGTTATGCCAAGTCCATCTTAATGCTTCTGTGTTTTGTGGAACTCTCTTCTGTACATTCAGTGCTGCTGACAGTTAAGCACTAATCAGGTGTACCCTTACATAAACCAGTGGTATCCTCTCAAAAATACACCACCAAACTTTTAGGCAACAAAGAAATCAATCCATATTACCATAGGAACTGTCTTTGTTTTGCTTTGGGCGTTTTTATTATTATATCTGCTCTTCACAACTAATAAACAATGTTAAATTCCTCAGCTTTTTGAATAGAATTTCAGAGCTTACTGTTTAAGTTAACTGTATTCTTATTTATGGGCACCATAAGAAAGCTTCAAAGCAGTTTGTTTTTTAAATACCTAGAATACCCTATGGTCTTTGCAGCAAGGGAAAAATAGGGCAGAAACTAATGCTGAAGGCTACCCACTGTCATCCTCCACTTTTCTTTTTTTTTCACTCCCAACAATGAATATTTTCATCCTTCATTAGTAGCATAGTATATTGTCAAAGGCAAAGTTGCAGTGCTTTTCAATTACTTGGAACATGTCATTCATAGAAATCACCAAACATTTCTTTGAGTCTAGGCCAGGCTGTAATCAATTAAAACCTACGGAGCAAATAAATTAGACATCTCTAGAAAGATGCAAGAATTTTCTGTCTCCCTGTGTCATTTCCTCAGCCTGTGGTGCCACAGTACTGTGGCTTTCTTTGCCCGGATGAAGCTCAAACTCTGGACTGCCTTTAAGGATCGAGGGAGGTCCTAGGTGCAGTACCTTTTTTCTCCCTCTCCTCTCCCTCAGGTTTTACCAGTCCTGCTCTGGATTAGACTTCAGAGAATCAGACAATGTTAGGGGTTGGGAGGGACCTCGAAAGATCATCTAGTCCAACCCCCCTTGCTGGAGGTGGACCGTGCACTGCTCAGAGCCCTTTCAGGATACAAAGCTAAACCTGTACCTGCTATGTGCAGACATTGGTTAGCAAAATCACAAACTTTAAAAATACTGATTACTGTATAAGTAAGCTATCTGAAACTATTAAAGGTGTTTTTTCATCTAGTAATAAAAATAATTGTGTATCTTTCATATAATCTTGGATGTGTGCTTTCTAGCCGGACCTGTTATTATACATATTTCACATATAAACTACTAATTTGTTTTTTATTGTTCTAATCTTTTCAATTAAGCTGCTTTCAAGCAATATTATCAGTAAGACTGTGCCTAGAGAAACAGTATATTATGACTTAAAACCTTTATTGTCACTCATTGAAGAACATTCAACTCTCTTTTCTGTTAATCAAATCCCCTACCTGCAATCTAGTCTCATCTCCCTGTTCTGTTGTGCTGTGTCCCCTCTGAGTTGCTTCTAATTCCCTTGCTTAGCTTCCAGCTTGAATCCTGCTCTGAAGCCTCTTTGCAACTCTAGAGTCCCGTCCCTGTCTCTCTCTGCTCCCTGATCAAGGCTGTCTCCTGGTTCCATGTGTTATTTCAAGCAAAATCTCACCAAATGCCAGAGATCAAAAACATGATGATAATGGTAGAATGTGCATTCATGAACTGTAATATCTGTTGCACACTAAAGAGATTCAGGGCAGGCTATGAAAATTAATTTTGAAAATTATGTTTCATCAGAGACTTAAAGACGGTGAGCTAAGCAGCCTTGCAAGGATAAATTGTAAGCGTGTTACTCACCATGAACTAGATCTGTTTGAGATGCCCCAAAGCAGAGATAATGTGAATGTCCGTAGTCACTTAGGAGCTGATCCTTCCTTTCAGAGGTAATGTTGGAGCACAATGACCCACCCCAGCCAGGGTGGGACAAGATGATCAAAACAACTTCAACATATGTGTATTTTTTTTATCCTCGTTCAATGCCTTCAACAAATGTACAGATGGGCAAGCTTGCTCCATACTAAATCACCACAGTTCCCATTTCTTTAGGGCCTTCCACACTGGTTTCAAAAAGGGATTTGAAACTGTCTGTAATAATGCATAATACACTTGCAAAAATGTGTGTAAAATCAAGATATCTTTATAGTAAAGAGCTGTGTTTGGTGCAGTCCAATATATGTGCACAGCAGCGAGTGTGCCTAGATTTGTATGTACGTGTCTTACACACGTAAGGTGTATCTTTTCTAGAAACGTGAATAGACAGAAAATTTCTGCTGCGATTTTAAGGAGCTGTCTGGCCTTATATATACAGTATAATAATCCAATCATTTCAGATTAATTCCTTCCAGAATGAGGACCCATAAGCAATGATCCCCTCTAATTATGCTGAGTTTTGTGTTGTTTTCTAGGACTTGCCTGACCACAGTGTGATGTTATTTGCCAAGCATAATTTCAGATGTTGCATGTGCTATATTTAAAAAGTATTCATAGTCTTTTGTTAGTTCAGCTTTATAAAATCCAAAAGGAAAACCATCTGTGAAAACATCTCTTTAACTAATTTTACCATGAGAGTTGTGGTGATGCTAATGATAATTATACTAGAGATAGGAAATATAGTTGTTCTTTGTTGTTTGGCAAGCAGAATTAGTTAATCATAGCACAAGTTTCTCATACAAGTCCTCTAGATTATAGGTTTTTGTCACAAAATCTAGAAATTTATTCCAATTCATGTATACCAGGACGGCCAGATCCGAGGTTTTTCTAAGCAGAACTGATCTTCACACTGCCTCTGATTAAATTGTGCAGCACAGTCTCTAAAATTTATGGTCTTTCCCTTCTTTCAGGCTCGCACAGATGGAGAGGACCAATGGCTCCTTCCTCACGGACAGTAGCTCCACCACAGGAAGCGTGTAAGTATCTCATCCTTGTTCAGGCTGCCAGGAGCTTTGTTTATAGATTCATGGCATAATCTTCAAAAGTTGTAACACAGGGCTTAGTCACAGTGAAAGTAGCTAGCAAGTATGACTCCAGTGCATAAAGTTCATTGCAAGCACTTATTGTAGATTTTGGTGATGTGCACTTGATGTTGTCAGGAAACTCTAGGTTTGTCAGCCATTCTGTTTCAGAAGTGGGATGTTTCATGTGGCTGGAAAAAAAGTCACAGCTCTACAGGTTCTAGTTTATATTACTTCTCTGCTTTTATCATAGTATAAAAGAACAAAATTCTTCTCTACCAAAGTGGACCATGGAGTGGGTTAAAAGCTTGTGCTAACTCCCAGGACAATTTTCTCACTGAAAAAAAAATCATCGGTATTTTGAAGATTCTGAGGAGCCAAAGCAGTGTTGCTACTTGTTTATATTCCAGTTCCCTGACTGCTGATCCATCTGCTTGTACTTGGGAATATAAACATAGTACTACATTAATTTTATCAACTTCATTTTCTATTTTGAATTATTTATCACTTTTATTGTAAGAACCATCATTAAAATGCATTGATGAACCTGGAAAGCATAGAACCCCTTGAAATACTGATTAATTAAGTATGATTTTTTTTTTTGATGTAAAAATTCACGATTGTTTCAACCTCACTGTATCATCGGTTCTATTAATTAAGTCAGTGTAGTAGCACTCTGGCTCTTTTAAGTTATTGAATGTCATCAGAATTTTAAAGAGGAAGCAGAAATTGTTCTTGTTGAGCTTTAGTTAGAAAATTCTGTTTTTCTCAATAGTAGTTTCATTTACTGTTTTAAAATCTAATCATAACATTATTCTGTCTATGAATGTACTAATAATTCAAGATTTAAAATACTTTCTTTCGGAGAAGCACATGTGACCACTTTTATGTGTTTCCTCTTTCCTGCTCAGTTAACTCTATTTACATAACTAATAATAATTTGTCACATATTTCTGTCATTGGTACACTCACCATTGAGAGAAATACAGCCAAAATACTCCCTCTTGATTTCCCTTCCAAAAAAAGAAAAAAACCAAACATGCTGCCGTTTGGCAGGAAAGCTGAAAACTTGAAGGCAGCTAAACGCTCATGTGCCTGAACCTGTCTATCCTAATGGTAAAATGGGGTGTGTATGCTTAATTTTTACTGTCAGATGAGCGTAAGGAAGAAATGAAGTCTTTGCAATAAAGAATGATGAAAAGTGTCCCTAACAGAAAGCTACACCTTGCAATTTGACAAGTCATGGTGTAGCACAATGAAAAGACAAAAAAAAATTGTTAGGAAAATAGGTCAAGAATGTAGCTCTCTTATTCCTGTAATGTATGTGCTATCCTATCTGGCCCATACTGAAGCTAGCTGCACTGGGCATAGTATAAATGCTTTCTGTGTAAATGTGGATGTTTAATAGCTGTTTTCTGCTTCAGGCCTTTACTCCCAGTTACTTTCATGTCTCCAGGACTGTTGATGCCACTTCACACTCAGCTGAATGCAGAGTGGGAACATTTGAGATTTTGCTAGGGAGCTGTGCACTTTGGTGCAGGAGTAGGAACAAGCAGTGAAGGCCAGTGCTACTTTTAGCTGGTGGTGGTAAATCACACTGGAGCCCCAGTGTGTAGTACCCCAGTATTTTAACACAATGTGAGTGATTAAAAGGCACCTTCTCAGAATGAGAAATTAGTTCCATGTGATGATAAAGTCAGGAGAAGAACAAGTAAGCTAAAGATAAAGCATTGAGGACTACCTTGTTGAATCTTATTCTAATATTCATCAGTAGGTCAAGATACAACTTTATTTGGACTAGAATGCATATCACCTAGTATGAAAGCCACAGGAAAACTGAAAATATCAATGAGGGAGGATCACAAATGCACACATCTTACTATTTGCAGTCTAATTTAACAATCAGTTTTCTTGATCAGATTAAATAATACACTGATAAAAAGTCATTGCCAGGAAATCTGAATTTTTCTTTCAACAGTGTAGTCTTGATGCAAAGGAAATTGTGTGCAACATTATTTGCCTCTTGGTCTCTCTATGCATAATACATATTTTGGAATAGACCTCTTGAAAATATACATCCACAAAGAGAACAGGATATTTCAAAGACCATTTTCCCTGGGTTTCCTTCCTGGGATGATGTTTTCTGTTGAGATGTACTTGTTTCAAGTCTGACCTCCTCGGATGTTGTTTTTACTGCTTTCTGCTGTGGTGAAATGCTGCAAAGAACTGCAGTCTCTGCTGTTGAAGGACTTTGTGTACTTCTATTTTTTTCCTCAAAGCATGCAGGATTGTCAGGAAAGTAACCACCAAGAGAGGATGAGGAATTTATTTTGATAATGTTCTTTTATTTTCGTTGCTAATTGCCATCTCCAACCAATTCCACAGGAGAGAATCATGGCTTCTCAAAATGAAAGTGTTTGCATGGCGGAGAGTGGGTGTCATTCCCTTACGTTGTAGGTCATTTTAAAGCCCTGCCCTGAAACTCCTTTGCTGTTAATGAAGCTGTCTTAATTACAGTAATGAGGTTTGTTTATACAGATTCAAAGTTCTGATTTTTTGAACTAGTAACTTTGCAAGACAGACCAGAGGTGGAACACGTGGCAAAACCCCACTTTTCTTTCAGACGAGTTCTTTTTTCAGGCACTTCCTCCAGCATGTGAAAAAGTTCGTTGTCAGTTGCAAGGTGTGATGCCTAAAAAAAGACGGGTCAATATTCATAGTCAGTCCTGTACAGTTTCTCAGACTCTGAACTGGTGGAAGAGGACAAAAGTTAAATTTTCTCTGCAACAAATAACTGGGAGTCCAAAATAGTAAATTATTTTTATTTAGCTGTGTTGATCTTGCCTACAGGACCACGATAGAGTCAGAAGTATCTAAGCATTTACTGTGAAAACTCTCTCTTTAAGGGGGTTGTAAGTTTCATTAAAACTCTTGACAGAATCTCAGATTTAACAAATCCAAATAAATTTAATAAATCCAGCTTTACAGAGCTCTATTTAAAAAAATAAAATCCATTTTAGATGACCTACATAGATGTTTATAAACTAATTCATCATCTTAAAATGTAGACAGCAGCTTTTTGGTGCCTTATTAAAATAACCAGACAGAACCGCTTGATCACATGGACCTTTCCCGACAGCATCAACACGCTTGCACCAAAGAAAGGCTGTATGTGTAGTTACACTGTATGACTTAAATCAGTATCTGAGCAGTGTTTTGAAACCTGGATGGTAAAGCTGTGTTCTCTCTAGTCTGTTTTAACACTGTTGGTTTTGTGCTTCCTGAAGACAGGGCGTTGACAGCCATTTCAGTCACCTTGAGGGGATTCTGCACATTTTGCAGGGCTGGGAGGTACCGCGGAGTTTGAAGCCTCTAAAGGGGTTACATCACTTTGGCAAAAATTCAACTATAAGGAGCAGGCTTTTCTTTTATCAAGATGGTTGAAGGGTGGAGGAGTACCACAAGATCTTCATCACCACATTAGGACGTGATCCAAACTCCATTAACTGCACTAAGCCCTTGTGTTAGTTTTAATTAGACTAATGCAAAATAACAAGTGATGTTGATGGTGAGTTTCCCTGATCACTCAAGTAGCAGAGAAGAGAAAGCAGAGGGTTTTTTTCTGTAGGTAAGGAAAGAAAAAAAGGGAGCACTGTTCTCTTTCTTTTTCAGCTAACACTGTCACATATCCCCTATATTTTTGAGGGGCTTAAATGCACATACAACCCCAATTATATTTTAATATATACCTGTACTTAATGAAAAATTCATTACATTTATTCATTTGCATGGGAAGATCCATATTTTTATTTCTTCTCATGAGTACAGTACTGACTACAGCCAAGGCAGATAAGAAATAAGTGAATGTACATTATTTTCTTTAAACATTTGAGCTATTGTTAAAAGATTACTCGCTAATTACATTACTTTTTCAATTTTACATGTAAATTTTCTGCAAACCAGTAGTTAATTACAAAAGATAGAATGAAGGAAAGTGATATGCAACCAGAGCTCTGTGGAAAGATCTTTTCATACCTGTCTGTTTTTAGCTTCCTATCATACATGAACTTATGTGCAATAGAAAACCATGGATTTTGAAAGTAGATAGAAATGACACAGGCTATGATTTTTTTGTTTGTTTTGGGTTTTTTAGATATAGTGTTACTTGATACACATTTGTTTGATTGTAATAGTATGGATTTTTGAATCTCAGTGACAAGTCTGAAAATGGAAGACCACATGATAGCTGCGGGTAGACAGTGAATAGTTAACCTTGAGAAGAAATAGTTTAGTGTTGTTCTACCATAGGTTTAGTCTTCAGTAGAAAGTTTATCTTAAGCAGTACTACAAAGAACCAAATCACTTTGGTGTTTGATAGAAGTACTTTTCTAAGAGAGAGACACCAGGAATCAGTATTTATTACATCTGTGGTTGTTTTGTTGTGCTCCTAATACTGGCGATGCTTTAAAATAGGTATTGATGTACTGAGCTACCAAAACGTCTTGGTTTGGCAAGATAAAATAGGGTCTTTCATTGCACAGACAGTATGTTTGCAACTCCCATTTGTTCCTGTCACACATTTGCTACCTTTACTCCAAGAACTTGAAGATATTTCTGAGGAAAACCCCAGTCTATGCGCGTGGCCTATAAAACACCTGATGCGCATTACTTGTACGGGCATTTATTTATAGATCATTTGTCACTTCAGAAATAACTTCTATTTCTTCCAGAGTATACATTTCTAAATAACTGGTTTTACTGTTTATTCAAGTGAGACTGTTACATTCAGAACTTTTGTGATGAAAGATGTTAAATTGACTGACAGGACATTTTTAAAAAGTGTCTTGAAATGCTCCATTACACTTTTAGTTTGTATATAATACTTTGCATATAATAAAATTCCTATTCTTTGTCTTTATCTGTGTTTTTTTTATTGCTCTAGAGAGGATGAGCATGCCCTGATCCAGCAATATTGTCAGACGTTGGGAGGAGAGTCGCCTGTGAGTCAGCCACAGAGTCCTGCTCAGATACTCAAGTCAGTGGAAAAGGAAGAGCGAGGAGAGTTGGAGCGCATCATTGCTGACCTTGAGGAAGAGCAAAGGTCTCATAATCATCCTATCTGGTGTCTGAGTTGTCACCTCCTTGTTGTTGAGTCTGTGTTAAAATACCTTAGTTTCACCTCTTCTTTATTGTTTTAAGCTTCTTTCCATAAATCACAAGTCACGGCATTGTCTTTGTATGAGCTACTTGTGTTCTTAGTTGGAGGTGACGATAACATTGTTTGATCTAAGGACGTTTTTCATTTTATTTGACTTGACTAAGTCATCATTATCTCCTTCTTTTCAATATACCAGGAGTCTGCAGATAGAATATGAGCAACTAAAGGAGCAACATCTTCGGAGAGGAATAAACCCTCTTGCGTCACCTCCAGACTCCATTGTGTCGCCTCAGCATGCTTCTGAAGATGCGGAGCTCATTGCTGAAGCTAAACTCCTAAGGCAACATAAAGGGCGCCTGGAAGCAAGGATGCAAATATTAGAGGATCACAATAAACAATTGGAGTCCCAGCTTCACCGGCTACGGCAGCTACTTGAGCAGGTAGAGGTGCACTGATGTCTTTCCCATGTGTTGTCTCTGTGTGATGGATTTCTTAGCGGAACGAGGGTGTTGAGATTTTACTGCAAATATTTTCACCATGCTAGCTTGATTAGTTGCTCTCAGTCATTTCTAGCTGAAGAGATTTTTTTTTTTTTCCTGGCCTCTAGTGTAAGCCATGGTGAAAGTCAAAATGAGCACAAGATAATTACAAGTGTCGGAGTGATCATGGTAACTTACGAAACATTGAGAATAACAAGTGCAATAGTTTTTTACGAATTAAGAAGAGGGGGTTAGAAAATATATACCTTCTTCCAAGTAGTGATGCCAGTCGTACTCTGTATTTGACTTCAATTTTCCAATCTTTCCATAAATAATTTGTTTATTTGTTGTCATGGTTAGTCACTGAAACCATTCACTGGCTAACTTAGATGTTTTTTCTAGGGAGTTTTGGCTGAATAGCATTAAGATGCATCTTAGGGCTTCCCTAGCCCTCTAACAGTGTATTTTTGGTTTTACTGTAATTCTAGCACCTTTAATCAGTATTTGAATAGTTTAAATATGTAACAGGGAAGATAACAACTGATGCAACTCTTAGGAATAATTCATGAAGTATCTTGACAACTGTGTCTGACTGAGAACTACATGTTTCAGAGAAAGATTTAAAATCTGCAGAGAAACAGCTGTATAACAGAAACATGTAAGTTATGCAAAACCCACAGTCACTTTCAGCTTAGTGATTAAAGCAGG